GAGCACCGTTGGCTGTAAGCGTGGTGACTGTTCTGGGCTGGCAAGTTTACATGCTGGGAGAGAGGCCCAGGTGTTCGGAATCCCCTCCCTCCCATGACTGCCACCCCTCTAGGAATCAGCCCTGTTCTGCCTTGCAGGCCCCGCCCCTGCTGTCGACTCATGGCTGGAGGAAACCAGTGAAGCTGTTGAAGAGGAGACGCCATTACCCACTCTGGAAGAAGTGGCCCGGATGACTAACACGGCTTACAGCAAGATCTCAGGTGAGACTCCAGTGGCACAGAAGTGAATTATCCAGGATGCATTAACAGGTGTGTTGTGAGCAAGACACGAGGAGTCATTCTTCCACTCTGCTCTGCGCTGGTTAGGCCTCAGCTGGAGTATTGTGTCCAGTTCTGGGCACTGCATTGCAAGAAAGATGTGGAGAGATTGCAGAGGGTCCAGAGAAGAGCAACAAGAATGGTTAAAGGTCTAGAGAACATGAGCTATGAGGGAAGGCTGAAGAATTGGGTTTATTTAGTTTAGAAAAGAGAAGATTGAGGGGGGACATGACAGCTGTTTTCAGGTATCTAAAAGGGTGTCATAAGGAGGAGGGAGAAAACTTGTTCATCTTGGCCTCTGATGATAGAACAAGAAGCAATGGGCTTCAACTGCAGCAAGGGAGGTTTAGGTTGGACCTTAGGAAAAAGTTCCTACCTGTCAGGGTGGTGAAATACTGGAATAAATTGCCCAGGGAGGTTGTGGAATCTCCATCTCTGGAGAGATTTAAGAGCAGGTCTTACTAATTTGTTAGAGTTCTTTGAAGGGGTTAACAAGCATGCGGATAAGGGGGATCCAGTAGATATAGTATACTTGGATTTTCAGAGAGCATTTGACAAGGCCCTTCACCAAAGGCTCTTGTGTAAATTACATGGCCATGGGATAAGAGGGAAGGTCCTTTCATGGACTGAGAACTGGTTAAAAGACAGGAAACAAAGGGTAGGAATAAATGGTAAATTTTCAGATTGGAGAGGGGCAACTAGTGGTGTCCCCCAAGGGTCAGTCCTGGGACCAATCCTTTTCAACTTATTCCTAAATGATCTGGAGAAAGGGGTAAGCAGTGAGGTAGTAAAGTTTGCGGATGATACCAAACTGTTTAGGATAGTCAAGACAGAAGCAGACTGTGAGGGACTCCAAGAAGATCTCACCAAACTGAGTGATTGGGCAACAAAATGGCAAATGAAATATAATGTGGATAAGTGTAAAGTAATGCACATCGGGAAAAATAACCCCAACTATACGTACAGTATGATGGGGGCTAATTTGGCTACGACAAATCAGGAAAGAGATCTTGGAGTTATCGTGGACAGTTCTCTGAAAACTTCCACACAGTGTGCAGCGACGGTCAGAAAGGCAAATAGGATGCTAGGAATTATTGGGAAAGGGATAGAAAATAAGACC